TAAATATAAATAAAAAATAAATTACCCAAAATTACTTCAAGATATATTAACTTTGCTCCTGCTGTGAATTTTGTCAGCATATTGTGAAGGGGAGAAGGAAGAGGTGTGAGCAAAAATTCATAGATTTCAGGTGACTTGCTGAAGTTGTTACTCTGTTAGAAGCCTTATTTCTCCAGCGATTATCCTTACCCTTTCTATGTGAGAGTGTTTGCTGCACTGGCAATGATTGTACTGTACAAACCAGTTGTCCAGTTTCTTTCCCTTAGTTCCAAGTTACGTTCCACAGTTGTGTGCAGCTTGGTCTTCCCACTTCTGTGAGGTGGGGAGATCCTTCAGCAAGGCACCCGGCCTCGTTCATGAGAGTGTCCGCTGATGAGAGCGCAAGCAAAAGGGATTTAATTCTTGCCCAGCTGCTTGGGACTTGGTAGCTGTGGGAGGCGAGCAGCAGCATGGAGGAGAGCTGCGCTGCACGGCTGTGCTGCTGTTGGTGCCGGGGGTGCAGGCACCCTGCCTGGGGGTGCTGCCCGCTGTTCCCATGGAGAGTGAGCACCTCAAGTGAAACATTTCATGTTTTGGAAAATGCTGCCTGTGACTTGGGGGGCGGGGGCAGTTGCAAGGGTTTGGAGAGAGGCTTGTTAATTGTGTCGTTTGATGGGATGTTCTCTTTTCTCTTTCCAGGGTTGATTGTAAGTTTAGAGAAGGAGCTCACACCCCTGTTTGAAGAACTGAGGCAGGTTGTTGAAGTTTCTTAACCTGATGGTATAGCCAGAGTGCAGCATCCCTCTGCAGCCCAGTGGACACAAAAATTCAATAATCCTCAGTCAAATAACATGTCTCAGAAGAAATACCAGAGCTCCTTAGTATACTAAGTAAGAGTAAATTGTACATAGTACTGAATCTGAAATGATCTACTAGTGTGTTGTAGGTGGATGTTACTTTAGGCCACGCTTCTTGTATTGCGCAGTACTGGAGAGACCACCAAAATAGCTCCCATGGAGTTTAGCTCAGCCAGCTGAGCCAGATCGGCATGATGCTGTTGGCTCAAATGAGCAACCCACAGATCTCTTGCTTTACAGGGAACCTGGCATGTGGTGGGGCTTATCCTCAGGCCAGCTATTATGTTGTATTGGAAAGCAGATCGTTGTATAGTGTTATTAAAGATATGGTTGAAAGAAGATTGTGAGAAAGTTTACTAGCGGTGATGTGTTGGTACAATCAATAAATATCCCGGCTGTCTTACATGAGTGATACTTTGGCAAGGGGAATGCTACTAATCTGGATGCTAGCTGCATCCTGCTTCTATTAAGAAGAAAGCTATTTCTACGAAAGCTGTTGCTTTAGGGGTTTTCCTGATGCCCAGATAAAAGCACCCAAACAATGTCTCGCTTCTTCATGGATTTTTTGTGTAATATGGTTGTGAAAATCTCATGTCTCATAGTCTTTGTGTGGGTTCATCACTGGTGACACTCTCAGTTCATTTACCCTTAGGTTTTCCTAAGTAAATAAGTATAAATAAAATACAGTATTTTTAAATGACAGAGCCTGGTCCACTCTTCTGTTGCACTGTAATACTCCACAGCACATCAGCTGTCCTGTGGAGAGAACAGGTCTCTTTAATGTTTTGTACATGTACAAAATCCAGGAGATGATTTACAGGCTGAAAAGTAACCAGTGAGTCTCTCGATTGGGCAATAGAGTCAATGCAGAGATGCAGAGGCTAGTGCTGACTGGCTTCCTGTTGCTGGGGTTCAACCCCATGCTCTCTGCCTCTCCTTGTTCCCTCTCCCATTCCCCTTGCGCTGGCTGCACTGTAGACCTCCAGCACTGAAACCAAAGCGCTGCTGGTCTAAGGGAGAGCTCTTGGCAGGTCTCTGCCTCAGGCTGGGAAAGGGGGTGCCACCGCCCCCTCATTTATACCTCACCCACCTTCAGCATCAGGCAGGATGGGAGGAGATGGTGGTGCTGGAAATGAGGGCTGGGAATTCTTGTCTCAAAAGTTCTCACAGAGATTTTGAAGTTGTCAGTCATCCCTTTCCCATTTAAACTGAGCTCCTGTCTTGAGCTTTCCATTGCTGGTCATTACAGAAGCAGCTGGAAACAGAGCCCTGCGGCGTCTCGGTGTGTATTTCTGGCAGAAAGCATTTGTGTTCCACCACGGGCCTGACTCTTGCTGTTAGCTTCTGTTCCACTCGTCCCTTTGTGACTCTGCTTCCTAGGCCAGCCAAGCACCATTTTGTTTACCGCCTTCAGTTTGTGGCCTCGTGTGCTGAACTTGCTTCTAATGGTTTGTAACAGCCTGTTCATGTGAAAAAGGGAAGGCTGCTTTTCTGGTTACACAGTGACACAGCTGCTGGAGAGTATCAGCTCTCTCTTCCCCTTATGCTGCTTCTCTCTTGCTCTCTCACAAACTCATCAAAGCTTCTTAACGAAATGAGAGATGCCAATTTCTTAAATGACTTCTTTAAGGGAAAAGAGAGCCTAAAGCTTTAACAGTACAGTATGGGAATACAGAAGACCTTTGGTAGTTTTGTAATGACATTTTATTCAGAAAACAGTCTGTATAAAAATATTTACAAATATTTTGAATTTCTAAGTTGCAATAAAATGCTATTGCTATGTTCAATTCTAGATTTTCTTTCTTCTTCCAGTATGTTTTTCCTCTCCAGTTCTCTCACAGTAGAGGCATCTATTGAACACTGACCTGTTGTGTCAGCAGTGCTCAGCCCTGTGCCACACCCTTTTGCATAGTGGGAGAGGCTTGCTTACGC